TTCCCTTTCTACCCCGGCTTCCCCATGTCCATTCATCCAGTTTTCCTGTCCCTTCCTGCCTTCTTGTCTTTGCTTTTGGGCAGGTGTTGCCCATTTGGTCTTGTATACTTGACTAAGAAGCATGTTCCTCACGTGTGTTATTGTTTGTTTTATAGCCCTGTCTAATCTTTGGCTAAAAGGTGGATTTTGGGAGTGGTTTCATTTTTGAGTTGGCAGGGTGTCCAGGGGTCATAGTCTTGGTGGAGGGGTGGGGGGATTCCTCCAGTCTCTGTCAGACCAGTAAGTCTGGTCTTTTTTGTGAATTTGAATTTTATTCTACATTTTTCTCCCACCCTGTCCAGGACCCTCTATTGTGATCCCTGTCAGAGTGGTTGGTGGTGGTAGCTGGGCACCGTCTAGTTCTTCTGGGCTCAGGCTGGTGAAGGCTGTGGTTCATGTGATCCATTAGCCCTTTGGACTAATATTTTCCTTGTGTCTTTAGTTTTCTTCATTTTCCTTTGCTCTGGAAGGGATGAATTTTCTTATTTGGATAAAACCACATTTCTTTTTGTTTTGTTGCTAATGTTTAGCTTGAAGACTAAGCTTTTTTTTTTTTTTTTAATTGTCCTTTAGGTGAAGGTTTACAGAACAAATAGTTTCTCATTAAACAGTCAGTACACATATTGTTTTATGACATTGGTTAACAACCCCACGACATGTCAACACTCTTCCTTCTCAACCTCTTTTTTTTTTTTTGGTGAAAATATACATAACCAAAGATACACCATTTCAAAAATTTCTACATGCACAATTCAGTGACATCGATTACATTCCTCCAGTTGTGCTGCTATTCTCACTTTAGATGAAGGTTTACAGAACAAAATAGTTTCTCATTAAACAGTTAGTACACGTTGCCCTACAACAATGGTTAACAACCCCACTACATGTCAACACTGTCCTTACTCAACCTTGGGTTCCCTATCACCAGCTTTCCTGTCCCCTTCTGCCTTCTAGTCCTTGTCCCTGGACTGCTGTGCCTCATTAGTCTCGTTTTGTTTTATGGGGCTATCCAATCCCCAGCTGAACGGTGAACCTCGGAAGTGACTTCACCACTGAGCTAAAAGGGTGTCTGGGGGCCATACCCTCGGGGTTTCTCCCGTCTCTTTCAGGCCAGTAACATAAACTGCATTTTTATTTCTCTCTTCATCTCAGCCTGTCATCTCCTTATGGCAAACTCTTTCTAGCCCATATAAGCCAAGTCTTATCACATCTTTCTGAGGATATTAGGCTAATGCCCTCTAAGATTTTCTTTTCTTTTCTTGCATTAAAGAACAGTTTTGAGAAATATTTTTCCTGTGAATCTTCAGGGTTATTTTATTTTTTTCTGAGCTGAGATAGACTCCAAGAATTAGCAGCTGTTTTCCTCAAATTCATTCTTGTAGTTAGCGGGATCTATCCAAGACATTTGCCACAATGTGGGATTTCTAGAGTGCTCTCAGCTTCCCTCTAGGTCTACTGGGTGATGGTAAATTTGTCATCTCAGAAATCGATCTATTGGATTAATAAAGAAAAGCACAAAAGGGGATGGAGGAGACAAGTTGGGCCAATAAATAGTTCCAGTACAGTAAAGAGGCTGGTGCTTATTACTTTGATCAGAGACATCCTCTGTCTTGGAGTTGAGGAAGACATGGTGATAAATCATGATTTCCTACTTTTCCATGGTGTTGCTTGTTGTTCTGCTTCAGAGACTAAGCAAATACACAATACAATGTTTCTCAACCCATTCCCACCAATGTTTCAGGTAATGAGAATGTTTTCTGGACCTTAGCATAAGGTTCCTCTTACCTGTAGCCAGTTTCCCCTTGTTGTGTATCTTTGTGGGTATTTTAACGGAAAGTGAGAGAAGGCACATTAGGCATTTCTAATCTGTTGCTCTATTAAATCGGAGATCTTCCCAAGGTCCTTTTCCCTCCAATAAAGCTCATGTATTAGGTTTTAGATTACATACTATATTACATTTATAATTTGCTATTTATTTATTAATAAGTGTTGTTATTATTTATTATTTACAAATAAGTATTGTGATGAAAATGTTTTCTAGATCTATCTGTTAGGTTTATTTTGAGATCCTTAACATTTTTTCTCTTTCAAAAATACAGGAAAGTAGTAAGAAAGTACAAAGAACTTTTTTAAAAAAAATCCTGAATCACTGAAGAATAAGTTGCTGACATGATGCCTCATCACCACTGACTGCGTCCGCATGTATGTCCTAATACAAGGACTTTCTTCTACATAGCCACAATGCTCATTCAATATTTGCCCTTTTGTGATTGCCTTATTTCACTCAGCATCCATGAGTTTTCAAGATTCATCCATGTTGTAGCATGTGTCAGGACTTCATTTCTCTTTATGGCTGAGCAGTATTCCATCGCATATATGTACCACATTTTGTTTATCGATTCATCTACTGATGGACATTTAGGTTGTTTCCATCTTTTGGCTATTGTGAATGGTGCTGCAACGAACAGTGGTGTACATGGATCTGTTTGTGTTTCTGCTTTCAATTCTGTTGGGTATATGCCTAGGAGTGGAATTGTTGGATCATATGGTAATTCTATCTTTAACTTTTTGAGGAACTTCTATATAGTTTTCCACAGCAGCTGCACCATTTTACAATTCTACTAGCAATGGATGAGGGCTCCTATTTCTCTCCATCTTTGCCAACACCTGTTGTTCATGTTTTTTTGACCATAACCATCTTAGTGGGGATAAAAGTGATATCTCATTGTAGTTTTGATTTGTAGCTTGGCCACTAACTGAAAGGGTGCTGGTTTGAACCCACCTAGCTGCTCTGCAGGAGAAAGACGTGACGATCAGTTTTTGTAAAGATTACAGCCAGGAACACCCAATAGGGTACCTCTATTCAAATTGACTTGATGGCACCTAACAATGACTAATGATGTTGAGCATCTTTTCATGTGCTTGTTGGTCATATGTATTTCTTCTTAGCCAAAACACTTTTGAAAAAGAGGAACCAAGTTGGAGGACTCATGCTTCCAGATTTCAAAACTCACAATAAAGCTACAGTAATCAAGACAGTATGGTTCTGGCATAAGGACATACATACATCAATGGTATAGAATTAGGAGTCTAGAAATAAACCCTCACATTTACAGTCAATTTATTTTCAACAAGATAATTCAGTGGGGGAAAGAATAATCTTTTCAACAAATGATGCTGGGACAACTGGGTGTCTGTATGCAAAAGCATAAAGCTGGGCCTCTTTTTCACACCACATAAAAAAAATTAACTCAAAATAGATCAAAGACCTAAATTTAAAAGCTAAAAATATAAAACTCCTAGAAGAAAACACAGGAATAAATCTTTGTGATCTTGGGATTAGGCAATGATTTCTCAGATATGATACCTAAAGCACAAGTAACCAAAGGAAAAAAAATAGTAAAATTCTGTCTTGAACTTTATCAAAATTTCAAAGGACACCCTCAAGAAAGTGAAAAGACAATCCACAGAATGGGAGAAAATATTTGCAAACTGTATAGCTGATAAGGGTATGGTATACAGAATATATAAAGAACTCTTACAGCTCAACAACAAAGAGACAAATGACCTAATTAAAAAATGGTCAAAGGATTGGAATAGACATTCCTCCAAAGAAGATATACAACTGTCCAATAAGCATACGCAAAGACACTCAACATCATTAGTGACTGTTTTTTCTTTTCATTTTTTTTTTAAATTGTGATTTAGGTAAAAGTTTGCCCAGCACATTGGTTTCGCATTAAGCAGTTAATACACAAATTGTTTTGTGACACTGGCTGTCAGTATCATTAGTGACTGTTGTTGCTGTTGAGTTGATTCCGACTCATAGTGACTCTATAGGACAGAACAGAACTACTCTATAGGGTTTCCTAGGCTGTAATCTTTACAGGAGCAGATCGCCAGGTCTTTTCTCCCATGGAGCCGCTGAGTGGGTTCAAATTGCTGACCTTTTGGTTAACAGCCAAGCGCTTAACCATTGTGCCACCAGGGCTCCTTCATTAGTGACTAAGAAAATGCAAATCAAAACCACAATAAGATAGCACATCACACCCACTAGGATGGCTGTAATAAGAAAGATGGACAATAACAAGTGTTAGCAAAGAAATGGGAACGTTCATACATTGCTAGTGGGAATGTAAAATGGTACAGTCGCATTGGAAAACAGTTTGGCAGTTGCTCAAAAAGTTAAACATAGGATTATCATATGACCTAACAATTCCACACCTAGGTGAGAAATGAAAACTTATGTCCACACAGCAGCATTATTCACAACAGCCAAAAAGTGGAAATAACCCAGGTGACCATCAACTGATGAATAGATAAACAAAATGTGGTATAGCCATACAACAGAATATTACTCAGCTAGGAAAGGAATAAAGTTACTGTTATGTGTTACAACATGGATGAACCTTAAAAACTACGCTATGTGAAAAAAGTCATTCACAAAAGACATGTACTATATGATTGCATTTATATGCAATGTCCAGAAGAAGTAAATGTATAGAGACAGATTAATAGATTAGCAGTGGTTAGCAGATTAGTGGTCTCCAGGGACTATGGGGAGGGGAGAATGGAGACTGCTAATGGGTAAGGAGTTTTCCCATTCACTTTTTGGAGGTGATGAAAATGTTCTGGAATTAGATAGTGGTGATAGTTGCACAACTTTGTGAATACACTAAAAAAAAAAAACAAAAAACAAAAACGCGCTGAATTGTATACTTTAAAGGAGTAAATTTTATGGCATATGAATTAGACCTCAATAAAAAAATTTTGATGTTATAGGAAAAAAAGCAACTTTGGAAGTCATAAAAAGTGTTTTTAAATTAAATTTGATTTTGTAGTCCTTGTCTGATATTTACTACCTTTAAGGTAAAAACCATTTGCATTCTATATATGCAAGTTTGCTTATACTATATACTATAAAATATTTCCTTTTATTTGTTTATTTAAAAAAATCGTACCTGGCAGCCATCCTGATTAATCCACTTGTGCTGTACTTCATCTCTGGCACAATCACTGAGGCCAGCATGATAAGCAAGAGCAGCAAGACCATCTTTCTGTAATGTGTCAGCCACTGTGTCACATTCTCGCCTGGAGAGGCAATAAATTATCCCTGAGTCATCTGCCAAGAAACCAAACAGTATTGCAAAATGAGGACTTTTAACATAAATAACAACACAATTTACATTATGTTCTTAGAAACATCCATCGCCTACCATCAAGTTGATTCTGACTCATAGCAACCCTACAGGACAGAGTAGAACTGCCCTAGAAGGGTTTCCAAGGCTGTAAATCTTTACGGAAGCAGACTACCACATCTTTCTCCTTCGGAGTCGCTGGTGGTTTTGAACTGCTGACCTTTTGGTTAGCAGCCAAGCACTTTAACCACTGTGCCACCAGGGCTCCAGCCTTAGAAACATAGGAACCACAAATAGATCTCCATAGTTTTCTTACAGTGGAGAAAGATCACATAGGCAGAATAATCCAAGCAAGGAAGTGACGTGCAGTAGAAATGAGAAGGTTTGGTTTTTAATCTTATCCTTGTTTATGACTTGTTAGGTGAACTCTGACAAGTCCTGGCCTCTGCTTCACACTGGCTATACAATGGGAAGGTAACTTTTATACACACTTCATAGAAAGCATATGACATTATGTATCAAGATTCTTAAAAATGTTTATACCCTTTGACGCAATTCCTTTCTAGGAAACGAACCTAAAAAATAATTTGAAGTGGTATGCACAATTATGCAAAAAGTTTTTTTATATTTAAAAAAAACCCAGAAACACCTAATGGCCAACATTAGGGGAATAATCAAGAAAGTAAATTGCAAAATGAAATATACTGTAACTATTAAAGGTATTTCCTAAGTTTTTAAAAGACATGGGAAAATGCTCAAGATATAAAGCAGGTTAAAGATACAAACATTATATATACATATAAATATATATATATATACACACACACATATTTTATATATATATATATTATGCTAATGGAAAATGTATCCAAAAATTATTTTAAGGAAATAAGCGAAAATAATAGTGATGACATATTTTTTAAAACTTAGAATGAGGTTTATTTTTATTTATTTTGTCTTTTTGTTGCTTTCTAAATTTTCTTCAATGAGCATCTATTTTATTTATCATTGTTTTTAACGTATGCTATTTTTAAAATCAGAAAATAAAAGACATAAAAGTCAATTCTGTGGCAGAGCCAAAGGTACAGATGTGCACACTAAGCTATTCATATTAGTTGCCTTGCAGAGGTAGGCCTGGAAAGGGAAATAACTGACTTTTTTTTGGTATATCTCTTCATGGTTTGATCTGTTCAAATAAGCATGTCTTCTACTTTTTAAAAAATAAAATAGAAATGTTTAACAAAAATATTCTCCATAGACAAGTGGATAAGGGGTTACAAGCATAACTGCTATGAATTTCAGAATCTCATTTTAGTTGATACAACTCAAAGGCAGATACAGTTGGGAGAAAGCACTAAAACAAAGAACTGTATAATTCATATGCTGATAAAAGCCAGAAGAAAGACACTAAACCAAGAATTAAAATATAGGTGTGTAGGAGAGAGTTTTTAATATATTTTTTGTTAGGGTTTATTGTCATCAAACCAGATGAGATTTTACAATGTCTAGAATTGAAAGAGCTGCAATATTCTGCTCCATACATAGCAAGTTAGTGTTATCAAACTGAGAAAAGAAAAAGTTTAATATGCAATTTTACATATTCTATTGTGGTACTAAAAAGACACTTATTTATTACTTCTAGACATAAGTCACACGGTGTACTCACGTGGGTGATGCTTTCTGATCCATTCTAAGCAATCAAATGCCACCTTTTTAGGTTTTTTTGGTAATACATAGTATTTCAGATTATGTCTGTTAAAACTCATGCTAAACCTGAAAAAAATCCCAAACATAAAATTTCGTATTATAAGAAAATATAGTTTTAGCCATCTTCAAAAATTAAACACTGATTTTCCACAATGCAAACCTACTGACCAAGTTGTCTTAGCTGAATATTGTTACCGGTAGCTTATATAATCGAAGACTGAAATGGAAGTTAGGTTAAGGGTTAAAGAAAAGAATGGTGATAGAGACAGAAAAGACCCTATCTATAGGAAATGCTGGTGGCATAGTGGTTAAGTGCTACGGCTGCTAACCAAAAGGTTGGCAGTTCGAATCCACCAGCCGCTCTTTGGAAACTCTAGGGGGCAATTCTACTCCGTCCTGTAGGCTCAATATAAGTCGGAATTGACTCGACGGCAATGGGTTGGTTGGTTGGATGGGACCAGGTGACAAAAGCTAGGACTCTAGAAGATAATATGTAGAAAAGACAAGGTAAGTCAGAAGTCCAGTCTCTAAGAAAAGGGTGATTAAAAGCGGAGATGGCTAAAACATTATTTAAAAGATTAAGGAAAACATAGATAAAGCATATACATATTTAGGCCACCAATGTTTCCAAATTTGGACTGTGTACCAAAAAAAGGTTGATTGCAGGTCAGTAGAAGGAGCTAAAGCCCTAGAGATCATGTAGAAGACTTTTTTTGTTGTTGTTGATGTTTACCTGTGTTTTATTGAGTATGCAAAGACATTCACCTGTGAGGATCGTAACAAATTATGGATCTCATTTCAAAGAATGGGAATTCCAGAACACTTAATTGTGCTCATGAGGAGGAACTTGTACAAACAGACCAAGAGGCAGTCATTCAAACAGAACAAGGGGATACTGCGCGGTTTAAAGTCAAGAAAGGTGTGTGTCAGGGTTGTATCCTTTCACCATACTTTTTTTTTTTTTTAATTGTGGTTTAGGTGAAAGTTTACAGAGCAAATTAGTTTCTCACTAAACAGTTAATACACAAATTGTTTTGTGACATTGTTTGCCAACCCCGCAGTGTGTCAACATGCTCCTCATGTAGAAGACTTTTGATTTTAATTTTGTTCTGAGTCCCAAAGGGAATGTGACTGACTCCAAGGCAGATGTGTTCCTCTTCTTCTGGTCTTTTGCTCTCAGCCTCCCATTTCCTCCCTCTCATTTATTTAGGGAGCTCATTCTCTCTATTCACTCCTCTCTTGTATTTTCAATCTCCTTCTGTCACTAAATATATTCTAGGACCACCAATCCTAACAACAACAAAAGTTTCTCTTGATCCTACAGTTTACTTCAGCTGGCATTCCACCTCTCTCTTATGCACTCATCCAACTCACCGTACATCCAACTCAATTCTCATTACTCCCATTCTGGCTTTTGCCGCCCACCATTTTACCAAAAGTGCTTTCTCAAAGTCTTTCAAACTAAAGAAAGAAAGAGAAATGAAGTCCTAACACATGTACAACATGGATAGACCCTGAAAACATTATGCTGAGTGAAATAATCAGCCATAAAAGGACAAATATTGTATGATCCCACTTATCTGAAATATCCAGAATAGGCAAGTATATAGAGGCCAAAGTTTATTAGTAGTTACCAGGGGAGGGCAGAAAGGAGGGGAGAAAGTGGACTCAATGCTTAGTGGACACTGAGTTTTGGTTAAAGGTTATGGTATAATTTGGGAATGAATCAGAGTGATGGTTGAACACCATGATGAACATAATTAGTCACTGAATTGTACACGTGAAGACTGTTGAAATGTCTTTTTACATATATGCTTACCACAATTAAAAAAAAAAAGCAAGAAAGAAACTAAACAGAGGAGGGAATTGTTATATTATCTCTGGCCTTCCAGGGACCCTCCACTACCCCAGGTTCCAACTATCTCCTATCCACAGGGAGGAAAGAGAACAAGTAAAGATTAGAGCACAAAGATATCTGAGTCTGGGTTAACATAAGGAAACAAAGAGGAGACCATAAACTGCAATGAGCTGCAGAAGGGAGGTTGCCTGTGTGTACAGCGGGTAGGGATCAGAGGGAGGAAAGATGTATCCAAGCTAAGATGGGACCCGGTTTTGTTACCATCAATAGGATAAACTCCAGTTTAGTTCTAGAACTAAAGAATTCCTCGTATGTGGGGGACAGTAGTGTTCCTGAAGGGACTGAAGCAGATAAGAAGGCCAGGTAACAGGCAGCGGTGATCGTCCAGCTGCTGTTGGTCTACGCAGTGGCCTTTTTGACACCTCATTCTCTCTGGCTCTGCCATGCCTCATTGTTGGCTATCTCTACTGAAAACCCTCTGTTAGCTCTCACAACTTTGCACTTCTGTGGTTTTCTTCTTACATCTCTGATTTCTCCATCTCCTTCTCTACTTCCTTTGCTTATTCCTTAAGTGAGAGTCATTCCCAAAACGCTTGGCTCTCTTCTACATTATCTCCTCCAGGAGTATCACTCTCATTGTGTTAAACAGCATTTATATATCACTCCCACTGGTCCCAACTTTTGCTCCCAGCTTAGACCTCTTTTCAGAGACCTTAAACCACATTCCAACTTCTTTTTAGACCAGTAGTCTAAAATTAGTGTATACATTCTCCTATGGGCTCATAAAGACTTTCTAGGGTATACTTTGCTTTCTAAGAGCAAAGATGATTTTAAAGGAATCAATTTCTAGATCCTCAATTTTCACATGTACTTTTTCCTAAAACTGATCTGAGAATACACCTACAGTCAAAACATCCTGCTGGTCTCCTTTGCTAACTTTTCTTTTACAGTTTGCTTTCTCTTACTTTCCAAAAGGAAACCAAACAACCAACCAACACACCTTTACTTTTTATCCATCTTGAATTTTACTGTGGTGCATTGCTCCAGAATGTAAAAACCTTCAGGATAGCAAACAAAAAAATTAAAATATAGTATGTGCTATGGATTGAATTGTGTACCCCTAAAATAAGTGTTGTGAATCCTAACCTCTATGCCTGTGATATAATCCCATTTGGGAATGGGTTGTTATGTTAATGAGGCAGGATTAGAGTAGGGTGTACCTTGAGTCACAAGGTACCTTGAGATACAGAAGAGATTAAACAAGCAAGTTAAGAAGCAGAAATGGGGGAAGAGGGATGCCAAGCCACATGAAGACTGTCCAGGAGCAGAAGCTAAAAGAGACAAGGACCTTCATCCAGAGTGGACAGAGAGAGAAAGCCTTTCCCTAGAGCTGGCACCCTGGTTTTGGACTACTAACTTTCTAAGAAGAATCGATGGATTTCAATTATGGTGTTGGCAAAGAATATTGAATATACCATGGGCTTCCAAAAGAACGAACAAATCTGTCTTGGAAGAAGTACTGCCAGAATGCTCCTTAGAAGTGAGGATGGTAAGACTTCGTCTCAGTTACTTCGGGCATGTTATCAGGAGGGATCAATAAACGGAAACCAAGACATCATACTTGGTAAAGGACAGTGTCAACAAAAAAGAAGAAGACCTTCAAGAAATGGACTGACACAGTGGCTAAAACAATGGGCTCAAACACAGCAACAATTGTAAGGATGGTGCAGGACCGGGCAGTGTTTCGTTCTGTTGTACACAGGGTCGCTGTGAGTCGGAACCGGCTTGATGGCACCTAACAACAGCCTCCTAAACTGTGAGAAAATAAATTTCTGTTTGTTAATGCCACCTACTTGTGGTATTTCTGTTATAGCGGCACTAGATAACTAAGAGGGAATTTGGTACCAAGAAGTGGTGGTGCTGCTCTAACAATGTGGAAATGGTTTTGGAATTGGGTAATGAGTACAGGCTGGAAGAGTTTTAAGGCGCCTAACAGTAAAAACCTAGATTGCCTTGAAGAAACTGTTGGTAGAATTATGGATGTCAAAGGCAGTTCTGGTGAGGACTCATAAGGAAGTGAGGAGAGTCATAAAGTCTCTAGCTTTTAGAGAATACATATGACACCAGCAACAGAAAGTTGTTAGATATGTGGATGCTAAATGTGCTTCTGGTGAGGCTTTAAAAAGAAAATGATGAACATGTGATTGGACAATGAAGGAAGGGTGATGCTTTTTATGCAGTGGCAAAGAACTTGTCTGAATTATGTTCAAATGTTTGGTGGAAGGCAGATCTTGTATTTGATGAACTTGGATATTTAGCTAAGGAGATTCTAAGCAAGATCTTAAAGAGGCTGTGTGGTTTCTCCTTGCTGCTTATAGTAAAATGCAAGAGGAAAGAGATGGACTTAAAAATGAACTGTGAAAAATGAAAACAGAACTTAAAGATTTGGAAAATTCTGTTTTACGTACTAAGGACATGTGTCCTAGAATGCTCACCAAGGATGTGCCTATACAATTTTTTGTTAAAGAGATTAAGCCTGTGACTGATGGACCTAACCAACTACCACAGCAGGAAACCCATCAGCTTAGACTGAAGGGGACACAGAAAGAACAAAAGAAAAGAATGCTGCCTGCCTCTTGGAATTCTACCAGGAAACAGGCCAAAGGAGCTACATCTGTTGTCCTCCATGAAAAGAAAAGGACCATCCCTGGATGATCTGAGAGATCAGCAGAACTGCTGGAAGGAGCATGAGAAGCCAGGCCTTCTTGATTTCAAAGGGTGGGGTTACTGCCTGTAGGTTTCAGAGAGTCAGATCTTCACTCAGTTCCAGAGTGTGAGGCTGCTGTTAAGGTATGCCGGGGGGATACAGCCACCACCCAAAGCTGAGGGGGTGAGGTTGCCATGCCCAAGGGGCAAAAGAATGGGGCCTGTTGGGGGCTGAGGGGGTGAGGTCACCACTCAGATGGTCTAAGAGAACGGGGCCACCAAAAGCCAAGGGAGCAGAGTTGCCTCGGGCCTCCACCCAGAATCCAGACAGTATGGCCAACACCCAGAGTCTGGAGGGCAAGGCCATTGCCTAGATGGTCTGAGAGAACAGAGGATTATTTTCAAGACTTGAGAGCTAATGTAAATTGTTCTGTTGGGTTTTGGACTTACTTGGTGCCCGTTATCCCTTCTTTCTCTCTGTAAAAATGGTATGGCGGGAGCA